ATATTTACTGCCGCAATCACAGAATGTGTACAGCCTCTGCAGCTAAAGGGGGAGCAGTTGGGAGTTGTTAAAATGTGACTCAACCATGTGGTTTTACCATCCCCCAACCACATAACTGAACGAGCCCTTGGTTCACAAATGTGCAGCTGCGTAATGCGTGTAGGGCAGCCTATTCATTGCAGTGGGCTGCCCTATCCACAGAAACACAGGGACAGAAGTCCTTGACCCTTTTTTTTTTTTTGGTCACTGCACCAAAAACGCATGGCGTTTGCCAATGCACGGGGGTACTATTAAGAGTTAATGGCACCCCTGCGCATCTGCTAAAGAGCAGTATGTTTGTCTACATGTCAGGATCACATTTGATCTTTGCACGTTTCCGGCATGCAGTGATGTTAACCAAGGCTGGGGTGCCTTGAAACTGAAAATACTTTTTAAGGGCACCCCAACTGGAAAAAGGCTGAAAACCACTGACTTACATTAGCTTGGATTTTCTTTCCTATAGACCTCTATGGGAATGCAAGACCTGGTTAAAGTGATGAAAAAGCATGCCAACACAAGCCCTTAGATATCTTAAGGGACCTAAATTGCTGGATTCAAGAATCAGACATATATTTTCAAAATTTAATCCAAATCGCATAATATCATCCACACTACACTTTTGTTTTCTCACACCATAATGTATATTGATTAATTTCCTGTGTTCTACTGCTATTATATATCAGGGAGAGGGTGATGACTCTATATTAACACGGCAGGAGAGAGCAGTTAAGACAACAATTCGGCTCTAATGTCTTACAGCCCCAGAATAACATCACCCTGACATAAAATAACCGATGGAGGTATTCTTGTAAAAATGACAATACCTGTCATCTGTGTTTATAGCATAGAGTTACAAAAAAGTAACCTAACAATGAAAGAACAGGTTCTATGTTGCTTGCACATAACCATTTTCTCTTCTCTTAAACCCCTATATCAGTTCCTTTACTGCTGTATGCCCCAAACACAGATGCAGCATGAGCTCACTGCCTTTGCCCCTCTGCCAGTCCGCACATCTATTTTTGCCCAGGCCCCTGTGCTGTAGTACACAGGCTGGACATTGAGTTTCATAAGAGATGAATGGGAGAGCCAAGATAACTCTCCCATTCATCTCTACAGAACCGGATATTGTACCTGCATACTAAAGCACTGATGCCCAGCCAAAAAAATAATAGCCAAACTCGGCAGAGGGTGCAGAGTGGTAACTGGGTTTGGACTGTACTTGAGGTCTGTGTGGAGGGCACTAAATAGGAATGGGATATGGGGGTGCCCAGTTAGGGTTCTTAGTAGAAAAGTGTACTTTTAAGCCTTCTCCTGATGGACTGGAATCCATTAAACCTGGCAAAACATGGTACCCAAACGTCAAAGCTCTGACATCTCTCTGAATCCCATATCATTCCTCTTGCTATATTATGGAAACTAGAGGAGGTGGAGTGCTTGACTGGGCTCCAACTTAGAGAGAAGGTGGCCGCTTGCATATGCAGTCAGTAGAAGACTTAGGCTCCATGCACAATAGCGTTTTTTTTTTTTTAAGCTCGTAAAACGCTGGTAATAGAGTTTTAGTAGCGTTCAGAAGCAGTAGCGTTTTTACAGTACATGTAGAGAGGTTTTTTTTTTTTTTTTTAAGCTCGAAAAGCGGTGGATAAAAAATGCTGGTAATAGTGTTTATAGTAGCATTCAGAAGCAGTAGCGTTTTTACAGTACCTGTAGAGAGGAAGGGGAAAAACAAAAAGCTTTTAAGGAGCGTTTAGCATTTTTTTTCTGCTGGATAAACTCTCCAAAAATATGTTTTTCTGTCCCAGACACTGAAGCTCAAAAAAATTCTAATAGCCTAAAGTAGTGTGCATGGACACATAGGATAACAATAATTACCTTCTAGGAGCGGAAAAAAATATGCAGATAATGGCTTCTAGGGAGCTTAGAAAACACTAGTGTGCGTGGAGCCTAAAAGAACTGAAGAGTATGTGCAAGCATCTTGATTTTACTCCTTTGTATAAAAGGTATAGATTTACAATACAATAAAGCAATTCTAATATCTTGCAATAGCACCTGTTTGTGAAGTCAGGTATTGCAGCACATCCATACATATACTGCATATTAGTTTTCTGTAAGCAGCACTGTATCATGACAGACTTCGGGGTTGATTTACTAAAGTCAAATAGAATGTGCACTTTGCAAGTGCAGTTGCTCCAGAGCCTGGTAAATGAGCAGAAGCTTTGCTGATTTCCATCATCCAATCATGCACAAGCAAAAATGCATTTTTGTTTTAATTTTCCTTGCATATGATTGGGTATTTTTTGGAAAGTGAAGCCACATACCATTTATGAATCTCTGGAGCAACTACACTTTGCAATGCCTTTAGTACAGGGGTGGGCAACTGTGGCCCTCCAGCTGTTGTAGAACTACAAGTCCCATGAGGCATTGCAAAACTGAAAGTTACTAGCATGATTCCCAAAGTCAGAGGCATGATGGGATTTGTAGTTCATCAACAGCTGGAGGGCCACACTTGCCCACCCCTACTTTAGTAAATCAGCCCCTTCATCCCACCAAGCTCTATAAACAGAGAGGCCTGATTATTGTTTGCACTAGCTGGATACTGCACCATCTATGCAGGTGTCTTATGCATTCAAACGGAAAAAAAAACCCCTTTGAATTGCCAATGATCAGCCAGCTAGACAACTGTACACTTCATCTGACAAACTGATTAAACATTCGGAGAATCCAAAAGTATAAAGACCAAATCCATCCTCATATGTTTTTTATATTGTTTTCCATGCTGCACAAGAGACCATCAGTCACTGAATCCATTGCACAAGTATGGCACTGCTACAGATTGATCCATCTCTGTTCACATCTTCACTGTATTCTTATATAAAAAAAATATGTACACAAGCAGCAAGTCTTTGTTTTCAAGCATGTAGTGTTGCTACGGTAATACTTAAAGTGTATCTGAACAAAGATTTACTATATTGCAGCTTACAAATTTTTAGATGTGGTGGCTTCATTAGTTTTCATTTTTCAGGCTAGGTACATTTTTGCAAGTACAAAAAATACCACTTGATCTAGCCAGAAATCTTGTGTGTATGTACCTTTGTTGTGCGTTGAACTGAAACCTCTAGCAGTGTCATCAGCCTTCCCAGTTCTCTTTTGTGAACAACAAAACAATTCCCCTCTATGTAACAGAATGGAGGAGAGTAGGAGGTGATTGTAGTTCAAATGAGAATTGTAGCCTAGGATGGCAATGCTGCTCCTCTGCAGAGTACTGAGTGAACGCTGTCACCCTAGGACAGTGTTTCTCAACTCCAGTCCTCATGGACCCCCAACAGGTCATGTTTTCAGGATTTCCATTATTTTGCACAGGTGATTTGATCAGTTTCACTGCCTTAGTAATTACCACAGCTGTTTCATCTGAGGGAAATCCTGAAAACATGACCTGTTGGGGGGCCATGAGGACTGGAGTTGAGAAACACTGCCCTAGGACAAGAATTGTGTTACTAACAGGATCAGCAGACAGAAATATGTACAAAAAAGCCAGAAAAAGAAAACTCATGCAGACAATACATCTAAGGACTGGTAAGCTGCAATATATTACTTTTTGTTTTTAAGTTCAGAAACACTGTAAAACGGAAACAAACCCATCGATTTACCTGTTTCCCAAAAGAAAGCTCAAGTTATAAATGTTATTAGGCCTGGGTTTCACACATATGTCGTGCAGGAAATGCCGTGAACTCTGTGCATTTCCTGTACCGCATTGCAATCACACAGTCTGATGCGGGTGTCAATACAAAGTTAACCACATCTCAAATGGATTGCATACGCAGTGCAGTGGATTGCGCGATACAAAATGACCATGCAATCTGGATGCAGTGCGGCTCCAAAAAAGGTGCCTGCATATCTTTGGTGTGATGCGGTGTGATTTGAGCCCATTCAAACCGAATAGGCTCAAGTCGAAACGCATGTGAATTGTACAGGAATGAGTTGCGTTCCTATGCGATTCATATGTGACTTATAGTGTGAATCAAAGCTGAATCCTTAAATGTGCCAATGTTGTTTTCTGCAGTGCTTTTATTTATATTCTACTAGCGCATGTGCAGTGTATGTTACATTAAAGGCTCTACTGAGAACTGTAAACCCATTCTCAACTAAATTTTCAAGCCCTCAAATGGCTGGTGTCATAGCTGGTCGTGTGCAGCACCACAGCAGATTCAGATCTTAATAATGGTTAACATGGCACCATTTTCGGCTGCAAAAGGATAGGGTTTGTTCCGCTTTAAAGCGCAGTAATGAGCCATGCCCCCAAATCCTTTTTAGCAATGTAAAGCATTTGCACAGAACTCATTATATTGCCAACAGGACCACAAAATGTGTGGGCTGAACTGAAGATAATTCCAGCTGAGATTCTGTTGTAATGAATACCTGAGAGTTCCTAGGACAGTGTCTTCATCTGAATTCTGATCATTTTTACATTTACAATGCTAAAAAAGGTGGTGGTGGTGGTGGTGGGGGGGGGGGCATTGGTTGTAATGTTCAGAACTACATATCATTTAACACTGGTGTGTGAAAACAGCTCACAGCTAATGAAAAGCACCATAGAATTGTTAGGTGGTATAGTTCACACTGGTAAGGCAGAGCAGCATTCAGTGCTGGGGGCATAGTGCTTTGTTGGCTTATGATGTTACTGAAAGGTATAATACAGTCCTATATAAGGAGTTCAACACTTACATCACAGCCAGCCAAAATCCATCACGTACAAAAGTTTCAATTTAAAAAAAAAAATGTCCTTCATAACACTAGATGACAGACTATGGAAAGTCTCTCATTCCTGCACAGATAGTAGTGGTCACTAGTACTGGGTGTCAGGGCGTCCCATGGAAGAGGCACAGCTCTCTCTGCCATCACATAGCAGAATGCTCCCATGGTAGGGAGGAGGTAATAGGCTGCGGGTCACTTCTCATCACTTCGAGTCATTTGGAGCTCTTAGACTGTACTGGAGGTAGATCAAGATTTGTTCCTGGGATGACAAATTCTCCTTCACCTTCAATGAGATGATCCCACTGATTGAAGTCCTTCTGGAGACCTGTTCAGCAGACAAAAAATTAATACAGGATATAAAATGTTTTTCCTTCACAAAAAAGTCATCTTGGCTTAAGGGCGGCTTTATATTGTGTTTCTTCTACTGTTTCTGTATCTCTGATAGAGGGATTCCCCACCCTTCCTGCCACATTCATATAACCAACAAGAAACACAGTAGCAAAACCTGAATGAGGTACTAAACCTTAACTACTTTTTTTTTTAAAGTAAAACAATTGGATGGTGCCAACTCCAAGCAGCTTTTTTTTTATTAGCAAAGTGTGGATAATGTTTTACTTTAATTTGTCACCCTGACGGGGAGATCTTTCCTGATTTCCTGCATCTGTATAACAAATAAACGGGGACAAGAAGGCAAGTACAGTAATAAAAAGTCCGTAGTTTTAACCCATCCCCTCTCTCCGAATGCAGCTTTTTTGTTTGCCTCTGTTGGAGAGATTCCCCATCACTTCCTGTTCTTACAACAGGAATCCAGATGGCAAAAATTGTTAGAATCTCCAAAGCCTGGCACAAACAGGCCGCATATCGGTTGGTTCAACAGAAAGCAGCTGACATTCGGCCCATATGTACAGCAGCCTGGCTGGCTTCCATCGAGTAGGCATGCTGGAAAAACCGTTGCCAACTGGAGGCTGATCAGCACTCACAGCCAATGGCTGCGAGCACTGACTGGTGTGTTCTGTTGGGGGGGGGGGGGGTGGCAGTTCCCATGTCAGAACACAATAGCTCAGAGGGGGAGATGTTGGTATAGCAAGCTCCTCAGTTATTTTTCATTTGGCCCGAATGGAGAAAAAAAAAAAAAAAAAAAAAAACAATATGTACCAGGCTCAACCCTTTTCTGCTATATCTAGAACAAACTTTCTGGCTGGAGGATACATGGATACAGTCATGGCCACAAATATTGGCAACCCTGCATTTCTGTCAGATAAAGCCACACTTTGGCTAGAAAATTGTTGCAATTACAAATGTTTAGGCATTCTTGTATTTATTTATTTTGTTTGTATTGGTATGACACAAAAAAGTGGAGAAATAGAAAAGTAAAATCTGATAAATTCCACACAAAACCCCAAATTAAACTGGACAAAATTATTGGCACCCTTAATTTAATACTCGATAGCATACCCCTTGAAAAAAATAACTGAAATCAATCACATCCTGCTCCAGGTCTCCCAGATTGGAAGGGTTCCTTTTCCCAACTGCTATTTTGAGATCTCCCCCCAGGAGCACTATGGGACTGAGATCTGGACTCACTGCTGGCCAATTCGGGTCCTCGCCAGCGCTTTGTCTAAAACCATTTCTGGGTGCTTTTTGACATGTGCTGTTAGATCATTGCACAGCCACCCAGAGCAGTGTGTCCGAGCTAACAGGGAGGAAGACCGTTAGTAAACAAAGCAGCCCTCCTCCCCCATCCGAGATCCTCTGTAATCACCGGGCGCCAGCAGGTAATCATTGACAGCCGTGACCACGAATGGCAGCGCGGGTAGGTTGTGCGCATGGCTCGCACGCGCCCCACTACCCGGAAATGCAAAATCACATATACAGTTGTGTTCAAAATAATAGTCAGACATCACTAACCTGATCACTGTTTTTGGTAGAAATTATATTTCTACATGGCAAATAATTTACTAACAGGTGTAGTAGAGTAATAGAAATCCAACAGACCCAACAGTCATGACATGCATGCTGCTGATTCTGTGTAATTGAATCACTAATTGAAAGGGACATGTTCAAAATAATAGCAGTGTGGACTTCTATTAGTGAGGTCATTCATTCTTTGAAAAGCAGGTGGCAATTATTGCCCTTATTTAAAGGAAGGAAGGCAGCAAATGTTGTACATGCTGGTTACAGTGCATTTCTCTCTGAAATTCTGAGGAAAATGGGTCGTTCCAAACATGGTTCAGAAGAACAGCGTATCTTGATTAAAACGTGGATTGGAGAGGGGAAAACATATAAAGAAGTGCAGAAAATGATAGGCTGCTCAGCTAAAATGATCGTAAATGCTTTAAAATGGCAACAAAAACCTGAAAGACTGGAAGAAAGCGAAAAACTACCATTCGAATGGATAGAAGAATAACCAAAATGGCGCGGACTCAGCCAACAATCAGCTCCAGGAAGATCAAAGGTGGTCTAAAGTTACCTGTGAGTACTGTTACAATTAGAAGACGCCTATGTGAAGCCAAGCTATCTGCAAGAAGCCCCCGCAAAGTCCCACTGTTGAAAAAAAAAGACGTGCTGAAGAGGTTACAATTTGCCAAAGAGCACATTGACTGGCCTAAAGAGAAATGGCGCAACATTTTGTGGACTGATGAAAGTAAGATTGTTCTTTTTGGGTCTAGTGGCCGGAGACAGTTTGTCAGACGACCCCCAAACACTGAATTCAAGCCACAGTACACTGTGAAGACAGTGAAGCATGGTTGCGCAAGCATCATGATATGGGGATGTTTCTCATACTACTGTGTTGGGCCTATTTATCGCATACCAGGGATCATGGATCAGTTTGAATACATCAGAATACTTGAAGAGGTCATGCTGCCTTATGCTGAAGAGGAAATGCCCTTGAAATGGGTGTTCCAACCCCTCAACGACCCCAAACACACCAGTAAACGGGCAACATCTTGGTTCCAGACCAACAAGATTGACGTTATGGAGTGGCAAACCCAATCCCCGGATCTTAATCCAATAGAAAACTTGTGTGGGGTGACATCAAAAATGCAGTTTCTGAGGCAAAACCAAGAAATAGAGAAGAACTGGGAATGTAGTCCAATCATCCTGGGCTGGAATACCTGTTCACAGGTACCAGAAGTTGGGTGACTCCATGCAACACAGATGTACAGCAGTTCTCAGAAACAGTGCTTATACAACTAAAAATTCATTAAAGTGATTCAAAGGAAAGCAAAATCTTCAAACATTTTTCAGTTTATATAGTGAATGTTTGAGTTTGTAAAGAAGAATTCAAAAACTGCTATTTTTTTGAACAGTCTAATATTCACTTTTCTTCAATTTTTTTTAGAGGAACAACACAAATTTGATCTATTTTTCTTCATGTTTTGATTTGGAATAGAATGTGTAGTATTCCCAATGCATTTGTGTGTTTGGAAATAAAAGCTATTAGAAGGATTTTCAGCTTTATTCACTTTTTTCAACACACTGCTATTATTTTGAACACAACTGTATTGCGTACCCCTGCCGCCCTGTAGAAGTATATCTGTTATAGGGTGGCAGGGATGTGGTCAAACATTTGTAATTGCAACAATTTTCTGGGCAAAGGGTGATTATCTGACAGAAATTCAGGGGTGCTAATATTTTTGGCCAAGACTGTAGATAGATTAGATTGATAGATACTGACATTAAAGCCCAATTGAAACTCTCGGCTTAAATCTTAGAACTTGGAGAACATATGAACAAAAGACCTGCAACCTTGGAAATCTGAGAAACAGTTGCCTGATGCCAAAAAGCCCATGAAGCACGCATAGGCTTAGTAGAATGCACTTCAACAGGAAACGGTGGAACCTTGTCTTTAAGACCTTTGATGCCTGAGCCACCAAGAAATGATCATGTGAGAGGCTGGTTCCCCTTTACAGGGACTATCAGAAATCACACAGAGTGAGTCAGACTTTCTAATAGAAGCAGTGGTTGAGAGGTAAACCAGCACAGCACAAACTTTATCCAGGCAATGGCGGGAAATTTCCTTCTAATGTACAGAGGTTGGACAGGGAGATGTGAATTGAATCTGGTTGAGGTGTAAGACCAAAACCCACCTTGGAAAGAAAAGAGGTTCTAGGCCTTAACTACACCTTGTCTTTTTGTAAGATCAATAGAGGTTCTTTACAAGATGAGGCACCAGCTTCAGACAAACATATGGCGGAGGTAATGGCAACAAATAATAAACCTTGTGAGTGAGGGTAGAAAGGAGACTATCTATGATGGGTTCAAAGGACAGTGCAGAGAGAGCCAAATTCAAATTCCATGGAGTAACAAGTGACTACAGGAGAGGCTACATGAACGTTCTTTACCAAAAAAAATGGGAGCCTAGCGGTCTCCGGAATAAGAACGCAAGGGCTGAGATTTGCATCTTGATGGTACTTGAGGCCAAATGCTAATCCAGGCCTGATTGGAAAAAGATCAGGATCCTTCATACAGAGTATTTCCTGGGACAAAAGCATCTTTCTTCACACCATGTAAAGTATGCTCTCCATGTGCGATTTTAAACTTTACAAGAGGTAGTTTTAGCAATGTGGAAATTACCAATTCAGAGACCATGTCTCTTAATATTCTTGCCATTAAGACTATGAAGCAGAGTGGTAACCTGGCCCTTGGGATAGTAGGCTGGGTTGGTTTGGAAGAGCCCATGGAATGTCTGCTAGAAATTTGATAAGGCTTACCAAATCCATCTGGTCCATTTTGGAGCTATGAAGATCACCAGAATGACCACAGTCTTGATCCTTAAGGGTCAAAGTGATCTCCTTCAACTTGAGAATAACATCAGTTGATTAAAACTCTTTATTGGTAAGCTCATCCAGCAAAGGGCTTGAGGGATGCCCTGACACTCAAAATCAGCCTTTGCAGATGGTGGCTCAGAAGTCACTAGTGGCTTTTCTGTTCCAGAGTGTTACTGTAACACACATTACGTGCATTAGCCCATCACAGAGCCATTCATTTTGACAAGACAACACAGCTTCAACGCACAAATACTGCAGCATGCTAGTGCATTGTCAAAAATGGTACATTTTCCATTATTTTGGATGTTTTGGTGTATTGCCAGTCCACACATTCGAAGAGGTTGCCTTAAACCACAAGTTAATGCAATGCACCAGGACTCCAAGGTCTGAATGGGTCCCTACAGAATCTGCTGGGGAAGGAGTAGAAGTGCACTTTTGGTCTTTGCAATCAGAGTAAAAAAAATGAGGCTATTTGGGTCATAAATTCCTGCATGACTGCAATAAAAGCTTTAGCCAAGAGGGCAAAGAATCAAGCCAAGGAGAACTCCAAAGGTAGAAGAGACTACAAGCAGAGGACACCATGACTCCAAGCTGCAGACATCAGCACCAGAGGTGGATGTGCTGCAATCATTCCCCAATCCGTTAGTAGAAATTGCTTGGGCACCTGGTACAGTGGAGACCGAATTGAAACAAAAGCAAATAAATTCTTGAAAATCTGGCTGATAGGGGGACAGAATATACCCTGGGCTGGTCTACATTTTGTCTGCCAGTGTGCAGTCCTCCTGTTGATGCTGAATACCGTGACTTTGTGTCCCTCAATGGATAAGAAAAAAAAAAAAGATGTTTAATGTCTTTCTAAAGCACTTCATTTTCATTTTTTAAAGCAGCCACAGCATCAGTAGAAAAGCCTGTTTCTCACATGCTGTAGAGGATCCTTGCTCTGTGTAGGAAAGCAGTGGCCTGCTGAGTTAGACCTATAGATCTGCAACCAACAAAGATCATGCTCCCAGGTGATTGGAGAGCTCCGGGTCTGACTCAGCAGGGGCATGTCAAACCTCTGTAGAGAGGCCACTACTTCCACATAGAAACAAGGGTCCTTACCTATGCACATCATGCTGGCAGGGGTCATGCTTTCTAATCATGCTGTGGCTGATTTATTAAGAAAACCAACCATACGACTTTTGTCTGATGCTTCTGGAATTTACAGTATTTAGCCAACTTAAACTAAAAGTCCAATTGGGATTTAGGTAATCTTCAGAATATTGGCATGACTGTAAATTAAGTCTATGATGGCCACACAACAGTGTGATCATAGCTCTTATGATCCAACATCACAAATGTATACAATGGATCATGTATGTACAGTATTAGTTCTCTGTAAATACTCACCAAGGTGTCGCTGTAGGAAAGCTAAAGTTACATTGATAATAATGTCCATCCCCACATATGGATCAATTTCTCCCTTTAACTTGAATATTTTCCCTATCAGGTAACCAGTGAGGAATGTGAAGTCAGGAAAGCTCTGATGTACACTGCCCCTGTAGAGGGAAAAAGAACAAACCCATCAGACAAACTGAAAGAGCTCACATACTAGCATGTCATTGTAATCAGCATAGTATTGTTAAACTGGCCATACAGGTAACAACCTGACAGTACAATCCCTGTTAGATTTACAGAGAATTATGTAAGGGTACTGTCTTCAGAATCCATTTAACTCTTTGAGGCAAGTTCTCACACTAGATGGTTGTTGGTAAATCTAACACAGATTATAAAATCGGATTGTAACATGGTCATCTTAAAAGGAAACTTGTAACTAGGACTGTACTCCTGAAAATGGGGTTTTTGCACTCACTGTAACATCCTTTTCTCTGAATTCATTGAAGGACACAGCCATAGTTATGACAGGTGGATTTGAGGTTGCCACCTACAGTTGCAAATCCATTGTGAAGTATGGCTGTGTCCTTCAATGAACGGATGAGATCATGGGATTTCTGTACTCACCGTAAAAATCATTTGCTCTGAGTCCACTGAAGGACATAGCCATACTTCATGATGTGCTCCTGTAGGTGGCAACATTAAGCCCATCTGAAGTATGACTAATGTCCTTCAATGAACTGAAGAGAAATACTGTTTGTTTGACTATCTGTTCTTATCCCTTTCAATGATCTGGAGCAAGCAAACAGCTGATAATCAGACTGAACTGCATATACCCATCCAGCTTGCTTGGTATCTGCCTGGATACATAATGGGCAGGTGTATATGTATAAATCTGTTAAAGGACAAGTTCACCTTTTGACAAAAAATAGTAAATGCAAATTTTTTTTTACAGGTAAAACATGCATTTATTATTGTTTGTTGCAGGAGCCTGTAAGGCTAGGTTTACACCTATACAGTTTGCATTTGATCCATTTCTGCAGTGCATTTTTGCCACGTTTTCAATGCGTTTTGTGTTTTTTTTTTTCTTGTTGCTAGGCAGATTAAAACGCAGCAAAACATACTACATGCTTTTCTGCAGCGCCTACATTGAAGTCTATAGAAACAAAATGCAACTTTTTGCATTTAAAAAAGTCACTGACACGCACCGGGTGAAAACGAAGAGATGTGAGTGTGTCCCATAGGAAATCATGTTAAATGGACTGTAGCGAGTTTCTGCAAAATGCTGCGGAAAACACTTAGGTGTGACCTTAGCCTAATACCTGTCAGTATATCTGCTTGCACATAGGGGACGTACAGGCAAGCAGATATACTGACAGGAAGAATCAATGAACTACCACGGTGCTCCACAGCACTGTGGTATTTCATTGAGGACTACAAGCGGACAGCTGCTAAGGCTGCCAGGACTTGTAGTTCATTCATTCACAGAACGCTGTGAATGAATGACACGGCTGTGTGGGCGGGGGCTGCAGCATTGGGAATATGTTACATGTTCCACCCTAAAAACAGGTGGAACATCTAACATGTTCCCAAAGATAAATTTTAATCCCTTGGCGTTTCGTCACATCCGGACTTTTTCAACAGGGATATGCAAGATCCCTGTTGAAAAAGTCCGGATGTGACGAAACGCGTCCGGGGCACGTGACGTGGTGACGTATTGCCGTTTTCCGGAAGTGCCGTGGCGGCCATTTTGGGTTCTGGAACACGCGGTTGTTCCAACCCTGGATACTTCCATTTTTGCCTGGCTCTCCTTCAGAGTGGTATGGTGATTGTAAAGAGTTACCGCTAAGGAGGGGGGTCTCTTCTTCTGGATTATTTCACTATATGGAAGCTGGTTTCATCAAATTTATATGTCTATGGGAAAAGGTTGTAGAAGATGGGAGAACAATGTTTGGAGGCTTTCTCATCTATATTATGGACCCTATGCTGATTGTATTTATGTTGGAGTAATTATGCACTCTTTATATTGTGTGCAGTAGAATTACTAATTGAAGTATTAGAGTCCAGAGTTTTCACGTTTGCTGTGGCACTTCTGTGTATCTGCATGTGACACGTGTGGCACTTTATTTTAATAATTGGGGTAATATACTATGTTGAGATTTTTTCTTTGAGGTATTTGAAGATTTTCTGAAGCACACCGCTAATTTGATTCAGGAAGAAAAGAGCTATTGGGAAATCACGTGCAAGGATCCTTTTTGACTTTTGACTTTTTGGACTTTAGGTGTATGGGACTTTACATTTATATCTTATTTATTTATTTAAGTTTGCTTATTATTATTTTTATAATTTTTGTACTTCAGGGGAAGGAATGCTAAGTAACTTATTGGGTTTTTTGTAGAGGATTTGAGTGCTAATTTTTGTATTTGTCTACTCCTCTCACTGACACCAATGATGTGGCACTACTCCTCCCACTGCAAAATTACAGTTATGAAGTAGCAACGAAAATAATTTTATGGTTGGGGGTCACCACAACATGAAGAACTGTATTAAAGGGTCGCGGCATTAGGAAGGTTGAGAACCACTGATCTATAGGGTTTACATAGAATGGTCCGAAAAAGAGAAAATATCCAGTAAGTGGCAGTTGTGTGGACAAAAATGCCTTGTTGATGTCAGAGGCCAGATGAGAATGGGCAGACTGGTTGCTGCAAAATTCAGATGGTAGGATCAGAATATGGTGTAAACAACATGAAGGCATGGATCCATCCTGCCTTGTATCAATGGTTCTGGCTGGTGGTGGTGTAATGGTGTGAAAGATATTTTCTTAGCACTAGCAAGGTTTACCTAATAAAGTGGCTGGTGAGTATATATGGCCAGCATTAAGTGCTAGACTAAATGTGGCAGGGGTGTTCAAAGAGCAGGGGGCACTTGATGATTTGATAACCTGTTGTGGGCCACAATGAACTATGGGGTCTTAACACCCCCCAAACCACAAATGTAAATGAGCCCTTACTGTCCTGAGCCCCCTATAATGCTGATGTACTGCAGTTTACCCACACTGTGGGTGCAGCACAGTGCACCTGCTGCTTTCCTGCGGGTCCATTGCGCTTTGCCATAGACTTATATCTGGCAGATGCGGTGCACTTTCTGAAAGCACACCAAAACTCATGCATTCAGGATCTTTGGTGCACTTTCAGAAAGCACACAGGATATAATAGAAGGCTATGTCTCAGTGCAGCTAACCTGCAGGCACACTATGATGCACCCATGGATCGGTGTGAATGCAGCCTAATAGTTGTTAACCCTTTAATAGGTACTAACATGCCCATTGAAAAAAACTATTATGCCCAGTGAATGTGTTGTTCGATAAAATGACCTTCTTTTCCTCTTGCAGCTGCTGCTGGTATCACTGTCCAGGGTGCTAGAAAGTATTAGAGTTAGAGTGCAGTTGGTATCACGCCTTGGACAGAAGTCAGTGCTACAGAGGAAGCATCGGTTTATACGGCTCCTGCTCCCTTCACGCCTGCCTACTTCCTCCGCTACTGCCACTGACTCATTGCACTCTGATGCTCTAGGGATGAGAGATTGCCAAGCCTTGATCACGGTCATTGGGTTGCCTACTCCAGGCATGAGCTTCCCTGGTTTGAGGTCCGTGGCCACATCAGAGGGCTCCGTGGGTCACATGTGGCCTGGAGGCCACAGTTTGAGCGTCCCTGTCTTATGCTATTCAAGACAACTAATCTATTTTTTTTTTTTTCTGCATACAGTATGTGGCATGGTGGAAACAACAAAATAAAGGCTCCTCCATCTATCACTCACAGTGAATGAAACCTAAAGGACAAAAGATTTTGGGACTAGTCATCCTCTCTCCATTATAATCCAGTGTTACTCAGTATCAAGGCCTGCACTTTGCATCTCATTCATAAAATGCAGGCCACTTAAAGTGTAAACCCTTACACAGACTCAGTGAAGTGACTGGCCTCAGGTGATACACAAATATCAAACATCCTCCTACATAAGTTGCACCGGTTTATCTGTAGTCTTCTCTTCTCTAGAGCCTTTCAAAGTCCAGAATTTTTACAGCTTGTCTGAGCTTTCAGAAAGAATGGGGTGGGGAGCTGAAGTTGCACACTGCAAAACTCAGTGAGGAGAGCTTAGGGCTGATTGGAGGGAAGAGACATAGCCCTTCACACAGCACACATGAACAGAGCTGAGACTTTCAATCAAAGGCTGTGTACCGGAGGTCCCTCCCTTGTCACCTTTTTTCTCTTGCTGTCATGAAAACTTGTGAGATGTGACCCATGTTGATAGCAGAGAAATGAGGCAGCAGACAAATGCTCTGGATTGTGACAAGTACAAACTATAGAGGGATATGCTTTGTTCATATTTCATGTCAAAGGTTTACACCCACTTTAATACAGCAAGTCGGTAATGTGGCCTTGAGATGTGGCATATACAGGCTCTCATCCAATGTTTTTAACTTCCAATTTTATTGCAATTGGCTTGATTTGGACTTCCCAAGCTAGCAGTGCACAATGTACATATAGAAGCATAACACCGGGCTTTATAAATATGCAGAGCTCTTTTTTTTGCTATTGCAGGTCAGTACATATCTGCAGGGGCTGTAAACATACTTGATGGTAATCATCTTCCTCTCCACGCTGGAGGAATCCATCTTCTTCATAATCATGACATTTTCCACCCACTGGAACTTCTCTGAGTTGACAAATAAAACTGGCTGGTGGATTGTTGTGAAGTGATTTCGTCTCTGAGAGAGAACATCCAGGAATCCAGAGCTACACCACATCTACAACCACAAGCAGACAAAATATCAACATGTAACTAGATGGCTTCTTGTATTAGGAACACAGGTTCTCATCTTTTTCTGAGTTGTGACACCACAGGCTATCCCCACTTCAGTCTATCATAAATGCTGCTGCCAGACTCATCCACCTTACTAACCGTTCTGTATCTGCCACCCCTCTCTGCCAATCCCTCCACTGGCTTCCAATTGCCCAACGAATAAAATTCAAAACGCTAACACTGACGTATAAAGCCATTTATAACTCTGCCCCAAACTACATCACTGATCTTGTCCCCAAATATCACCCAAACTGTACTCTCCGCTCCTCACAAGACCTCCTACTCTCTAGCTCCCTTGTCTGCTCCTCCCATGCTTGTCTCCATGACTTCTCCAGAGCTTCCCCCATCCTCTGGAACTCCCTACCCCAATCCATCAGACTATCGCCTACTCTACTCACCTTTAGGCGCACTCTGAAAACCTCTCTCTTCAGGGAAGCCTACCCCGACCCCAGCTAATACTGAACTCCTCTACTCCTCCTACCAGTCCATCCCCCACAGCTATTTCCTCCTGTACCACTATCCCCTCCCTCCTAGATTGTAAGCTCCAAGGAGCAGGGCCCTAGAACCCCTCTTGTATTGAATCGTATTGTTACTGTACTGTCTCGCGTACTGTCTCCCACCATAATTTAAAACGCTGAGCAAACTATAGGCGCTATATAAATCCTGTATAATAATAATATAATAAGAAATGGAATTATCTAAACTTCATTCCAGAGGAATCTGGAAGATGCAGCTCCAGCCTAACTGCTTTCTTTTAAAAAAAAAGTGTGCTGTCCCTTTAAATCATAAATATATGATTATAGTGCAAAATAAACTAAATGTAAAATATTGTAACACAATTCAAGTATAATATAAATCACACCAAAAGTTCATATACATAAATAGTCCAAAGAAGTGACAAAAGTGCTCCGTGCTTGTAAACTTCTTCACAAAAAGTGCTGAGTGTGACGACATCACATTCCGGCATGCCAGCTGACATTGCGATTGGATGTTTTTATGATAAACTGCTTGTATTTACCTACCTTATGTAAGTGCAATACTTTTATAAATAAATGGAAGTTTACGTTTACTGCACCATGAGGCTTCTCATTTATGATTTACACGTGACTGCAGTGAGCGACATTTGAGACTAAGGCTGCTATTTGGTTTGTCTACATACTTCATCGATGAGGTCACTTAATCTGCTGAGGGTCTGACAGCGAGAATGCCAACCTGGAGTTCGGATTCAATCGCTTTTGATCTGTGTAATTCAAGACCACCTACATTTGGTAAGAGGCCCCTTTATTCTTTAACCACTTGCCCTCCAGAGGATTTACCCCCCTTCCTGACCAGGCCATTTTTTGCGATATGGCGCTGCGTTATTTTAACTGACAATTGCGCGGTCATGCAACGCTGCATCCAAATGAAATTTACATCCTTATTTTCTCACAAATAGAGCTTTCTTTTTCGGTGGTATTTGATAACCTGTGCATTTTTTATTTTTTGCGCTATAAACAAAAAAGACCTACAATTTTGAAAAAAAAAAATTTTTTTTTTTTTGCTATAAAACATATCCAGTAAAAACATTTTAAAAATCAGAATTCGTCATAAATTTAGGCCAAAATATATTATGCTACATGAGCACAGGAGCACTTTTTGTGAAGAAGTTGGCAAACACGCAGCACTTTTGTCACTTTTTTGGACTTTTTTGAACTTTTTGACTTGGTTTCTTATTGGTCTGATTTATATTATACTTGAATTGTGTTACAATATTTTACATTTAGTTTATTTTGCACTGAGTGACGGATTGGCTATTTATTTGCATATTATTTGCAAGAAGGTAAGGCTGGAGTTCCGTTTTAAACAGCCTTCCCCAATAAATAATGGGGCTCAGTTTCAGTAGGTGCAGGTCAAATAGATCATGACGGATGGATGAATGGACTGTAACAACATCAACATCTCAAGGGTTTCTTAATTCCAAAAGCCTGCAGAAAACCTGGTAAGACAGAGTCATGCCCTTACCTAAATCGTGAATCCCTCCCAAGTGCTTTGATTGCTGTAGCTGCCCCAAAGGAGTGTCCCACTGCTGCCACTCTCTGTACATCAATAGAGTCCTAAAAGAGAAGAGTCACACTTGTAAAAATGTCAACCAGAAAGAAGCTTTTGTTAGTGTTTTCATCATGTAATTCAGGCTTTATCAACCAGCAGCTTCAGAGCTTTGTGGAAATAAGTCCATGTTTTTCCTGCCAGATTACCTGCAGTGGGTATAGAAAAGAATCACCCCCCTTTAAAATAATCATATTTTGTTGCTTTGCAGCCAGAAATGAAGACAGACACAGCTTTTGTTTAATCTAGCTGTATAACATTATAACTTATAATATCCAAGTGAAAGATATAACACCATCATGTCAGAATTTTTTTTTTTTTAATTCAAGGAGGTCAATTGCAGGCCAAATGCACCTGTCAATGAATTCTGAATGATCTCAAAAGAGTGACTGATTCCAAAAGCAGCTGCATTTGTCCATCAAATTTGTCGACGGTGGTCCTACGTAGGAAGCTGCTCGTATAATTCTTTATGTACAGTAAGTGCCTATGCCTCCAATTTACCCACCTTTAACAGTAGCCAGTCAAAATTGGATGGTAATGTGTTGGTTACTGATTTTCCAGCATTGATATCCAGCACAAGGTCCAGAGCCCGGATGCATTCATCCACCCTCTTCTGTACCTACAAATAAAAAGCAGCCAAGGATTATAATAGATCACAAGAATACATTTATAAAAGAACATAGCACAGGTATAAAGATAACAATTAGTAAAAGATCCTCCCTCTTTCACATTGTAATATAATGTGTGTAAAGTTAGCAATGCTCCCAGAAGTATTCAGTATAAATGCACACAATTAATTACTGGCTTGATTTTTTAAAGATCTATCTGAGATTTATCTATTGGTTGACTCCTCTCTCATTCACTGATGGCAATGAAGTTTGAGGGCCTATTCACACTTGTACTTTAAAAAACATGATATACACTTTCTTGAAAATGCATGTTGTATTTTTATTGTGCTTTTAATGCATTGTGCTACAAATTAGTGCAAAGCGTAGTGCATTTAATCCCCCTCAGGCGCCTAGGAAAAAATGGACTTGTGACTCAAAAAGCACACTAATAAAAAAACATGTTGCGATTTTGGTGCGTTTTTTGTGCACTATCATTGACTATAATGTAAGGTGCGTTGGGAAGAAAATGCACAGAAGATGCAGCAAGCAAGACATTTCAAAAGTGCAGCACAAATTCTCGAACAACAACGCCTTGATATGAACAGTTTTGTATCACTTAATAGTGATTAGCTCTCATGCGCTGGCTCAGTATCTAGCCTAGTCAGTGCTTCCACGTAAGAGCTAACAAACTCATTGACTATTTATACACTGACACTAATTGCAATTTAAAAAGCCACAAATGTGGGACATTAACTGGCATTTTAACCCGTGTGTGTCACCTTGTGTGTCTGTACCAAGGCCAAACATGCCAGGATATGTAAACTTTTGATTCGGGCCATTTGGGTGATTTCTGTTATCATTATGATTTAAAAAGGAGCCAAACAGCTATTTTATAATAAATGGCTTCATATGATCATCATCCTTCAATAAAAGAGCATTTTTTGGCATGATCAGTCATATTTTCAATATCAATGCCAAAATTTCACAATTTCTGCCAGGGTATGCAAACTTTTGAGCACAACTGTATGTAATTAAATGACAGAAAGTGTTTCAGTCCGCTGCCTTCAAGTGGATGACTTTTCCATGTCCTCCTTTCCAACAATCTCTTACCTGCTCAAATCGGAGTGGGAATTCATCTGAGCCTGGTTTCGGAGTCTTGTTATAAATCCACACCTCCTCCAGAGTGTCACACTCCTCCTCACAAGCGTCAGTAGAGGACCTCTCCCGAAAATAAAATGTTGCAGATGCAGATTCATCTCTGTTAAGAGGTAATCCATCAAAGAAATTAACCACTTGCCTACCGGGCACTTATACCCCCTTCCTGCCCAGGCCAATTTTCAGCTTTCAGTGCTGTCGCAATTTGAATGACAATTGTGCGGTCATGCAACACTGTACCCATATGAAATGTTTATCATTTTTTTCACACAAATAGAGCTTTCTTTTGGTGGTATTTAATTGCCACTGGTTGTTTTATTTTTTGCGCTATAAACAAAAAAGGACAAAAATTAAAAAAAAAAAAAAAAAAAAAGTTTCTTTGTTTCCATGAGACACATAGAGCTGCAGTTTGGCCCAGCCACAGGCTCTCTCTTCATTGACTTACTGGCTGTGATTGACAGCAGTGGGAGCCAATCAGGAGAGAGAGACCCAGGACAGCTGAGGCTCCTGTGCACATTGATGGATTGAGAGGTGAGTATAAGGGAGGAGATGTGCGAGAAGCAGTATATAGAATGTTTATACCTCCATTAATATAATTAAAATAAAAAAAAAGCCTTTACAAACACTTTAATACTTTAGCAACCTATAATGCTCAGCTAATGTCACTGTTATTTTTTTTTTTTGCTAAGGCAATAAACACAGAATGAATAATATAGGTAAGTGTTTTGTGATGAGATACTCAATGGGATGCTTCCAATGAAAATATGCCTAAAACAAAGGAGGCACAGCAAAATTAGAGTATAACACTAGACTACTAGAAATATACATATATATACACCTCCCTTGCTAGCAGAATGGCTTTACCTAATTAATGCAAATGTACCACTTTTTACATTAACGTATGAGCTTAGAGGGACTACAGAACAGTTTGATAAAATCTGGGTACATTGGATCTCCTCCCTCCGCACACTTCTCCTATTACCCCTGGTGAGACTTCCACGTAAATGTTTTTCTTCTCTCTCCCATTACTTGCAATATATCCCTTTTAATTCAGGTTAACATGATGGCTTCTTGTTTGGGACACTGTGGACTGTATGCAAATGTCCAGACTTTTCCAGTTTTTCTATTGTAATGTTTACTTTATTGTTCATTTTTGTATTACCTTTATTGTAAAATGTAATTAAAATTACTGTTTAAAAAAAAAAAAAAAAAAAAAAAAAAGGATATATACATATACAAAGTACATTTTCAAAACAGGCAGTATATAGAAGATATTTAATACTTGCATAACTAACTTTAGTGTACAATGCATTTGAAATTGTGCTGCACTACATTGAAGAGGCACAGCTCTGTTCTTTCCAGGTCTGTGCAATAATCCAGCAATAAACATTTCCTGCACTTTACCTTTGTGCGGGTATACTGTACACACCTGCATTCAAGAGTTTTGGCGCTTTCAGAAAGAGCACTAAACCCGCAGGATATAATAGAAGTCTATGGCTAAGCACAGCAAACCTGCAGGAATGCTGCAGGTACACTGCACTGCCCCCGTGGTGTGGGTAAACGCAGTGCATCAGTGTGAAAGCAGTCCTATACTATTATGCCCAGTGTATTGCTGCACATTGACCTAAAGATCTCTTTCCTGCTGCTGGCACCATTCTGGAGACCACTAGCCGGGATAAGAGGTGGAGTGCAGTTGGTATGACTCCGCACGGAACATGAGTCAATGCTATACAGAAGGCATCGGCTTATGCAGCTCTTGCTCCCTACTACAGCTCCAACATTACAAGTAGTCCCTCTGCATTGCACTTGGTTTTATGCTCTGGGATAGCAGGTCCCAATCTACCAGTCCCATGGCTGCAGTCTACTGGTAGATCACAATCTACAGGTTGCTGACCCCCGCTTTAAGTCATAAAAGAAAGTTTGTTGCAGAAGTTTATGGCAAGGGGGGACTATAGGAACCAAAAGCCCTCCACTGAACTAGTGAATATAATACAAGGGTCTTCTTAGAACGAAAAAAGTATTCACACGTCTCTATTCATCGCAAAAGATAGGACTATTACTTTTCCAGGATAGTGGGCAGAGCCATACAAATTGTTCTTTCTTACTCTGTTGGCTAACTGTACATCCAGAAACACAGATGTGTATGTTACAGTCATAAACACATTTTTCCAGATAGTACTGTATTCCATCTATAGTATCTTCTAAATGCATCCACTTACCTATGTTCAACTGCGGCAACTATAAAGCCCTGCGATGCCAAGCCGATACAGATAGCTGAATACAACGTTCTGAAAGGATACACCAATTTTAGCAGTTTTTATTGGTACAGACACTTTACCAGCAAAAACAAGAAACAGTAATAAAGAAAATGCATTATGTTACTATTTTGTTTACGTTGAGGTCTGAAAAATTAAATATGAAAATGTTTTAAAAATTGCAGACCATTTCCTCTTTACCTTACATCTGATGTAGTTGTGGTTACCTGAAAGCTCCAAGCCCATGGGAGAATATGACCAGGGGGTATCTTTCTCCTGGTTTGAATGGTGCGTTCAGCTTTGCCGGACATTTCACAGAACCTGCATGTAGAACACAAAGTACATGAATGCCGAATGGCCATAAAAAAATTGGACACAACTGGGGCTTGTTTAATAAAGAGTGCACAAAGTTAAGCACTAACTGTAACGTGCAACAAACAGTAGTAACCAAATCAGAATGCAGACAAATCAATACAAGATGGATTCTCTCTGGTCGCGCCATCTTCCACTTTGCATTCTTGCTCATTACATTATTTTACTGAATCAACCAATATGTGCCAACTTCATACACATTCACAGCTCAAACTGCCTTTAAAGTAAAATTTTACTTTTGTAAATTGGAGTTTCACTTTAAATGCAGCATTAATTTGTCCCAATGAAGGTAAAGTTGGAAAGTGTAAATCATAAAAATATTGTATCACTTTACAAATTGGCAGGTAAACAATTCTATTTAAACCATATATTTAGTTGCTTGTCTGACATAATCTTCAAATATATGTATTTTTTTTTAATTTTGATAGTGTAGTAGTAATGGGTTAAAACTGTCAAATTGTTATGCCCTGCCAGAGATTTCTCTTCACTTTCTGTCCTTAAAGTACATTTCTCCACAGTGCCTGCAGCTACAGAAGTCAGTGAGAGTTTGTTTTTTTCTGTTTTAGAATATGAAAATACTTTAGCCAGTTAACATCCGCCCTATAGCAGTTTTACTGTTACAGGGCGGCATTCCTGTGCAAAATCACAGCACAAACAGATCTACAAGCACCTGCAGATCATCAGTCAGACAGGAAGAACAGAGATGTATCCAGTTCTTTTGTGACGAGGGGAGTTATGAATCGTGTATCTCTACAGAGCTGAGAACATGATCCATCACTTCCCATAGTAAAAACTAAGTGTGCACCAAGCACATAGCTAGGTACACACTTAACCCTTTGATCACCCTGGATGTTAACCCCTTTTTCCAACCAGTGTCATTAGCACAGTGATTAGTGTATATTTTTAGCACTGAACACTGTATTAGTGTCACTGGTTCCCCGCAAAGTGTAAAAATGCCCACCGCAATATTGCAGTCCCGCTATAAGTCGCTGATCGCTGCCATTACTAGTATAAAAAATAAATAAAATAAAATTCCAGTATATGTACCATAGTTTGTAGACGCTATAACTTTTGCACAAACTAATCAACATACAATTATTGGGATTTTTTTTACCAAAAATATGTAGCAGAATAAATGTTGACCTAAACTTCTAAAGAAATTTGATTTAAAATTTTTTTTTTATTGGATATGTTTTATAGCAGAAAATAAAAATATTGGTTCTTTTTCCAAAATTGTTAGCGGTTTTTATAGCGCAAAAAAGTAAAAATCAAGAGGTGATCAAATACCACCAAAAGAAAGCTCTATTTGGGGGAAACAAAAAGGACATAAATTTAATTTGGGTGCAACGTTGCATGACCATGCAATTGTCAGTTAAAGTAATGCAGTGCTGTATCGCAAAAAATGGCCTGGTCAGGAAGGGGGTAAATCTTCTGGAGGGCAAGTAATGTCCATAGTCTAAGCCCAGGTACACTTTAACACTTTAAATTCCTGTTGAGTTAATATACCTTCACCTTCTGTCCAAAAGACAGAACAGGAAGTCAAAAGAAATCTAAAGTTAGGAAAATTCTCTTTTAAGCTGTCCATACACTTTTAGTTTTTTTTTTTTTTTCGAACCTGCGAGTATTGATAATGTCTCTATCTTGTTGTGGGAAAAAAAAAGAGTTTTTCTAATGTTTTTATATGAAGTGGGTTCTGTTATAGGACATCTGAGCCAGATTTTTGGGCAGCAATCCACTTCTGAGCTGATTAGTCGCATTTGCTAGTGGGATTTATAAAGGTTACATAGTTAGTCTGGCTGAAAAAAAAAAAAGACAAAAGTCAATCCAGTTCAACCATTAAGAGAAAAAAAAGTTATAATGCTATACCCACAGTTGATCCAGGAAGGCAAAACCCCAGCAAAGCAGGATCCAATTTGCTCCTGCAGGGAAAAAAAATACCTTCCTGATCCCCCGAGAGGCAATCGGATATTCCCTGGATCAACTTTACCTATAAATGTTAGTATCCAGTTATATTCTGTGTATCTAAGAAAGAATCCAGGACTTTTTTAAAGCAATCCACTGAGCTGGCCAGAACCAACTTTTGAGGAAATCTATTCCACATTTTCACAGCTCTCACTGCGAAGAAACCTTTCCATGTTTGGGGATTAAATTTCTTTTCCTCCAGACGTAAAGAGTGCCCCCTTGTCCTCTGTGATGACCTCAGGGTGAATAGCTCTACACCGAGTTCACTATATGAACCACTGATGTATTTATACATGTTGATCATATCCCCCCTTAATCTCCTCTTCTCAAGAGAGAATAAATTCAGTTCCTCTAATCTTTCCTCATAACTGAGCTCCTCTATGCCTCTTATCAGTTTGGTTGCCCTTCTCTGTACTTTCTCCAGTTCCCCAATGTTCTTTTTGTGAATTGCTGCCCAAAACTGAGCTGCATATTCCAGATGAGGTGTTTTTTCAGATGAGGTGCTCAGTAACTGGTGTGATAAGGTTATGAATAACGGGCAAAACGTGTCAACCTTCCCCTTTTCCCCACTGTATGGTGCATTGCCTTAGATTTGTATATGTTAATAAAGAGGATTAAGTTTGGAGTGCGGCTGCTCGTCGATTTTTCTTCTACCTTGTGTGCAGCATGCGAGCTCAGTGAGCAACTTTGCAGCAATGAATTTCTGCAGCCCAGAATGACCTGGAGCAGCGGTATCTCTTGTCTCTGACATGAGGTTGATGAAGGAATCCCCCACTGCTACAACATTCACTGATCAGAGGGTGCACCTAATTGGCTGTAGCTGATGATCAACAAGTTTTCCAACTTGTTCGTTCAACAGAAATCAATCTGACAATGGACTTCTGTCGAACAGGAACAGCCACACACTGATCAAAATTAGGTCGGACCCTGCTGAACTAACCACACTTCGATCATTGTATGGCCAGATTTTAGTTTTCATTGGAACAAATGTCCTCTGGCAGATTTCTTCTCTATTTCTCTTCTAGTTTCTCTTCAATTTCAATCCTGTTATTAATGGTCACCAGGACAAAGAGAAAGGGTGAATCTCCCCAGCAGGGACAGAGCCAATGATAAACACCTGACAGGGGTTCTCCACACTCCTTCCAAAACTAAAAGCAATTTTTGGCTTTAGATACACTTTAATAATTTTCCTGTATAAACAAATTTATGTTATTAACGTTTTAACCTTACCAAACTCAACTATAAAACGACTTTGTGCAATATCTTCAATCTCTTATTCTCATAAAAGGTGCTTGACAAAAGAACATATCAAACACGTTCATTAACCGTTTCAATACCGGGCAATTTTACACCTTCCTGCCCAGGCCATTTTTCAGGTTTCAGCGCTCTCACAATTTGAATGACAATTGCGCGGTCATACAACATTGTACCCAAACTAAAATTTTATCATTTTCTTCACACAACTAGAGCTTTCTTTTGGTGGTATTTAATCACCGCTGGGGTTTTTATTTTTTTCTAAATTAACAAAAAAAGACCACAAATTTTGAAAAAAAAATAACATTTTTCTTTGTTTCTGTTATAAAAGTTTACAAATAAATAATTGTTCTTCATAAATTTAGGCTGAGATGTATTCTGCTACATGTCTTTGGTGAAAATAACCCAAATTAGGATGTATTTTTTAGTTTGTAGGAAAGTTATAGAGTTCACAAACTATGGTATAGATCTGAATATTGATCAATCCTGAAGTACTGACAGCCAATCTAATTTCTTGAGGTCCAAGAATGTCAGAATAGTACACATATCCCCAAATGACCCCTTTTTGCAGAGTAGACAGTCCGACGTACTTCATAAGAGGCATGGCGAGTTTTTTGAAGTTGTATTTTTTTGTCATAATTTTTCGGAAAAAAAAAATTATTTTCACTATTTTTTTTTTTTTTACATACTGTCACCAGTGCAGTACAGCATCATCATATAACTGGCATTGTCCTGCTGGAAGACCCTCTTGGACGCAAACCCCAGCTGGCGGTGAACAGGGACACTGACTGGTGACAGTATGAAAAAAAAAAAAAATATATATATATATATATATATATTTTTTTTTTTTTTTTGCCCCATTATATTTAATTTTTTATTACATTTTTTTTTTTTTTTTTTTTTATTTTACTATGACCAAAGTAGTACAATGTTACCATAGTAACATTGTACTACTTTGGGGAAGTGATCAGTATTTTTTTTTTTTTGCACAATTTGCTTATAGCAAAGAATTACTTTGCTATAAGCAAGCATTTACCTGAATGAAATCGATTCATTCAGCTTTTTTTTTTTTTTTTTGTACTTAGCTGTGATTTGGTCACAGCTAATCACATGACATGTGCATGTGATTAGCTGTGACCATTCACAGCTAGGCACTAGTATACAATGGATGGCATCATGAATGAAGCCATCCATTGTATACAACTGTCATGTGACCTGCTGTGATTGGTCACAGCAGGTCACATGGTACCAGCAACGGGAGCGGTACTCGGATCTGTCATCGGCTGTGTCCGAGGTGCACGTCCGGTGACAGATCGCACTGCTGCGCCGCTCTGCATTAGCGCAAACGGCGCATGTGCGGGAGCACACCAAATGGCCTTGCACCCGGAATGCAGGGACACAATTGAAGCCGCCCAAACGGCCATTGGCCGGGCAGCTAATGGTTAAGATAGAATCTCCCTCAACATGCTGGATGCAGGTGACCTGCTATCAAATCCATCTAGCTTCATTTAGACACAACCATACAGGTGCCCCAAGTGGGCAGCACAATGGCTAGATGTTTAGCACTTCCGCCGGACAGTACTAGGATCCTCCCAAATCCCAACCACAGCACCACCTGCCTGGAGTTTGCATGTTCTCCCTGTGCCTGCGTGGGTTTCCTCCAGGTACTCCGGTTTCCTCCCATACTCCAAAGACATGCTGGTAGGTGAATTGGCTCCTGTCTAAATTGGCCCTAGTATGTGTATGTATGAATGTATAGTAATTTAGGGATCTTATATTGCACACCCCTTGAGGGTTAGGGACTGATGTGAATGTACAATATATATGTAAAGTGCTGCGTAAATTGACAGCGCTATATAACTACCAATCATAAATAAATAAATATGAGATTTTGCATAAGGTCATGTAGCTCTGAAGAGGTGTTCCCCTTGAAATGCAATAACATTGCACACCTGTATGTTTGTGACTAAGCCCCCAGTCATATTGAGTGCTATTTTCATGGCATGCGACTTGCAAATCGTATGCCAAGTCGCACCCTATTGTCCACTATTATTGGTTGGAGCCGCACCAATTTCTAAAGGAGTACATGCACTACTTTTGTTGAGATTTGCATACACATCTGTGTCAGATGTCTTGCAAATCGCAATGAAATCGGCAGGTCACCCGATTTTTAAATCGTGCGACTTCACTAAGTCGCACGATTTCAAAATCGGCTTTGATGTGACCCGGGTGTAAGTGAAGCTAGATAAACTCAGCAGTGGGTCACCTGCATCCAGCATGTTGAGGGAGATTCTATCTTAATGAACATGTTTTTTACATTATTTGCCAAAAACATTTTGTGAGCAAAAGAGACATTTTAATAAATATTTAATAAAAGATATTGCATGAGACCGGGTGATTTCCAGGGGCGGACTGATAACTCATGGGGCCCCTGGGCAATAGGGGATCATGGGGCCCCTGTGTCCTTGCCCAAACTCAAAAAAGCCTATGAAAAAGGTACCAGGGGCATCTCATGGGGCCCCCTACTGACCCCCCGGCCCTCGGGCGGTGCCCGAGTTTCCAAATGGTCAGTCCACCCCTGGTGATTTCTTTTTGTTTATAGGCCAGTTTAAAGATTCCCAAGTCTGGATAGAGCTGCAAGGCCTTAGATATACTTTCATACTGTGTATTGTTATGAGAACATTCTTTGCATGAAATATTGAAAGAAAGTAATCCACTATGAAGATTGTATCCTTTTAGCACTTGAATGCTGACAGTTTTTCACACTTACCAAAGTAATAGCTAAAAACAAAATCAATTAGAGTCCTGTTCAGCTTCAGAGTGTCTGCGAGTCCTAAGTAATACTCTTTACGGGGAATCCATAGAGCCTCTTCATATTCATCGCTATCCACACAAGGGTAGAACAGTCGAAGAAAAGTGCCCTGCACAAAAGACAACCACTCATCAGAATAACATGTAACTATAAGGGGAGCGCAAATAATACTGGCCAATGGAAAAATTCAGATGAGGAAACACATACCAAACACTTTACAATGTCTTCAGATTCTGTTACAAGCAGAAGTTCTGTGACTGTGAAAGCATTCCTGTTTAAGTAATGGATAAAGAAAAAAAAAATGGGGAAGAATATGCAGAAAGGAGGAAATGGGGAGGAAAATGGAGGAACTCTCATCTCTGACTTACCTCGGTGGAAGAAGTAGTGATTGGGAAAGATGTTCTAACCTGACCAATAACTACAGTATACTTCCTGGGTTATTGGAGGTTGCCCTATAGGCCTAATGTGGTCCTTTAACTAGTTGCTAAGGTCTACAGGCACCTTAACAGATAATTGGTGGACTATGTTGTCAGTTATCCCTAACATTCTGACATATACAGTTGTGCTCAAAAGTTTGCATACCCTGGCAGAAATTGTTAAATTTTGGCATTGATATTGAAAATATGACCGATCATGCCAAAAATGCTCTTTTATTGAAGGATGATGGTCATATGAAGACATTTATTATCAAATAGTTGTTTGGCTCCTTTTTAAACCATAATGATAACAGAAATCACCCAAATGGCCCGGATCAAAAGTTTCCCTCCCCTTGAATGTTTGGCCTTGGTACAGACACACAAGGTAACACACACGGGTTAAAATGCCAATTGGAGGTTAATGTCCCACCTCTGTGGCTTTTTAAATTGCAATTAGTGTCAGTGTATAAATAGTCAATGAGTTTGTTAGCTCGTATGTGGAAGCACCCGGACAATTCTTCTGCCAGTTATGGCTGCAATCTTTCTTTGTCTACCTGACCTTGGGGAGTGTACTCATCCGGAGCATGCGCTGGCCGGGAAAGGTAGAAGTGAGCTCCTTTTTCAAGCTGCTTGAAAAAGGAGAGCACTTCCGCCTTTACCGGCCAGCGCATGCTCCGAAACACGTAACAGTGCACCTTGGGATACTGACGTCATCACGCTCACGCCACCGATGCATTCCAGCATGCGTTCCACCCGGCTCAGAGTGAGGATGTGCACACTGGCCGGAAACTCAGCTGTCTCCCCTCCAGTCACCACGCTGCTCCAGCGGTACGCTGAGACCTTTTACCGATGACAGCTCAGTTATACGGATGACTACACTACCCTGTCCGATGTCACATCATACCATTATACCATGCATTACTTTTACCTCATAAATGTGAGAGTGTGCCTACCTTTTATCTTCAATAAAGTGTTATGTCGCACTTAGAGGCACTTCTTCTCCTTCTCATCGATGTAAACTTTTGATCATGGCCATTTGGGTAATTTCTGTTATTATGATGATTTAAAAAGGAGCCAAACAACCATTTGATAATAAATGGCTTCATATGATCATCATCCTTCAATAAAAGAGCATTTTTTGGCATGATCAGTCATATTTTCAATATCAATGCCAAAATTTAACAATTTCTACCAGGGTATGCAAACTTTTGAGCGCAACTGTACCTCAGTATGCACCCTTCCTATTCAGAATTAGTGACCAATACTTCACACAGCTGCTAGCTCTGAATACCAGCTTTCTCTGACAGCTCAGTTCCACACTAATGCCCGGTACACACGATAAGAAAATCGTACGAAAAATGTTGTAGAACCACTGATGGAACGATTTTCTCTTCATTGATGAGCAGGATGTTTTAACCAATAACGATATTGTGAATGAAAAAATCCGGTTGAACAACAGTGAAAAATTTTGTTGTTTTGCATATGAACGACTGATTTTCTATGCGGTGGTATGACTGTCGTACGAAAAAAATCTATCAAGCGCTATCACGCATGAGCGGAAACAGAAGACGACCCAGATGTTTATGTCTAAGGAATCTTCGTAAACACGAACGGAAAATCCAACAAAAAGTAACAAAAAGTAAATTGGCCTAATGAGATCATGAAACCAGAATTCTGTATATTATATTTTATGTATCACTATTTATGTATATAGGTAATATAATAAACTATATTATACACATTGCTGTTAATTGCTGAGTATATCGTTCGTTCTGGCCGGAAGGGCGTGGCTACAAGGTCACACGCACACCGCTTCACTTCCACTTGTACAGAAGACGTCAACACTACATATTGCCCGACGAACAATTTTTTTAGATTGGTTAATGTGGGCCACGATTTCGACCAACAAACGAATGCCTCTTGATCGTCGGATGACCGATCAGTCAATTTTCTAATCGTGTATTCCCACCTTAAGAATTGAGAACCAATTAGGGTGGATCCTGATCCTGTGATCACCATGTCAGCTAAGAAATAGAGGTTGATTTATAAAAACCGCAGAGTGCAAAATCAGGTGCAGCTGTGCATGACAGCCAATCAGCTTCTAACTTCAGCGTGTTTTAGTAAATCAACTCCATAGTGATCACATGGAAGCTTCAATGACAAATAAAAACTTTAGTCTTTAGATGGCACTGCTACCTGAAAGTGTCAGCATGTATTTGTTTAATACTGTAATTGTGGGATATACTTATGGTATTAACAAAAAAAATGTAACAATGGTAAGCTTGTACCAAATAAAAGACTTACTTCCTTAGGTATGCAAATGTGTCAGATAATTAGGTTATTAGCAACATACACTCACTGGCCTCTTTATTAGGTACTCCTGTTCAACTGCTGGGTAACACAAATTGCTAATCAGCCAATCACATGGCAGCAACCCAATGCATTTAGTCATCTAGTGGTGAAGACGACTTGCTGAAGTTAAAACCGAGCATCTAAATGGGGAAGAAAGGGGATTTAAGTAACTTTGGACATGGCATGGTTGTTGGTGCCAGATGGGTTGGTCTGAGTATTTCAAAAACTGCTTATCTACTGGGATTTTCACGCACAACCCTCTCTAGGCTTTACAGGGAATGGCTCAAAAAATAAAAATATCCAGTGAGTGGCAGTTGTGTGGACAAAAATGGCTTGTTGATGTCAGAGGTCAGAAGAGAATGAGCAGACTGGCTGCTGCAACATTCAAATGGCAGGGTCAAAATTTGGCATAAACAACATGAAAACATGAATCCATCCTGCCTTGTATCAACGGTTCAGGCTGGTGGTGGTGGTGTAATGGTGTGAGGGATATTTCCTTGGCACTAGCAAGGTGTACCTAATAAAGTGGCCGATGAGTGTATAATGACAGAGTCACTTAAACAATGATTTGTAGAAAGATCACAGTGGTGCAGTAGTTACATATTTTATCTGCTTCGCATTTCAATGTGTGGGTCTAGATGCAGTGAGGTCTAACCTTTGAATCAGAGAACACACCGTTTTGTATTTTTGAAGCTCAGATCACAAGCTGTTTAGCAGAACAGAATACAGCCAACTGTAGGAAGCTTGCAGGGCAGCCAGCAGTAGCCACTAAAAGCACATTAGAGTCACTTAGAAGTGGGACTGTGTCCTATGAGTTCACATGCACAATTTTCAAGGTTAATGTGTCATGATAATAAAGTTCTGAAATGTTTTTCTTACAGATCCAGAACATTTCCATATTTAATTCTTAATGCTATTATAAGCTATTTTTTTTTTTTTTCAATAACTTAGAAAGAAATGTTCAAAACAATGCTAAATACCTGAATGGTGTGATCACTCATCAGGTCCGTACAGCCCACTGCATGGGGTCCTTTCCCCTTTGGTATCCCACAGAAATGGACGCTGCTGTAACTTCCCATCCTCACTGCTCCTCTAGAGTCTTTCAAGCGTCTGATGGGAAAGCTCTTCAGAGCCTGCAATAAAGTAAGAGATTCATGGATGTGTCTGCAGAAACAAGTCAAAACATTACAGTATATCCAAACTTAAAAAAAACAAAAATATAATGTACTGCAGCTTGTCAGTCTTTAGATGTATTGTCTGCATTTGTTTTGTTTTTTTAATTTATCAAAACTTAAATTGAGAAATAAATAAGCAACATAAGAGGAAAAAAACTATAGTAAAAAAAATGGCATACAAATGTAATAAAATGCTAATAAATCAACAAATCTTTGTTAACCTCTGGTTCACATATATGCGCCCGTGCGGGCCACGTTTTGCACGGCACGAGAGCCTATTCATTTGAATGGACTCCTATGCCCCGTAGGGAAGACGTCCCTGCACTTCTTTGGAAACCGCAGCCCGTACGGGAACCTCGGTTCCCAGTACGGTTGCGTTTTCCAGTGCGGGCGGCGTGCCATTAGAACTATTGGCACCTGCCCGCGGGTCCGCATTCCTCTATGCAGGTGGTGCGGCTGCATGGATTTTCATGCGGAATCCGCAGCGGCACCACCCGCACATATGTGAACCTAGCCTTAATGGACCTTTCACTTAAACATAAAAAATAATTTTTAAAATCACTAGGTGTAAAAAAATTTAGAAAAATCCATTATCCCCCATAAAAACATACTTAGGCTTCCAGCCTACTGGTCTCACCTAGGTGCCAGGGACATCACTCAGCCTCCTAGGAAAGTCAAGGATGCTACATGACACAAGGATGTGCTCCTGTACGGCATGCAGAGTGAAGTGGAGCAGAAAATATAACAAGGCAACTTACAGACTACTGAATTTTGCAATAGAATACAGTGGTCCAGAAAGTCATGTTTAACATGGTGTACAGAGTGCAATGGTCCATATATTTAATGTACAGCTCTATATTGGGCTGTTTGGAGTACGTAGCATACAGTGCAACCAGTGTGAGGCATGTAATGTACAGATAAGCATGGAGGGCTGTGGTCCAGAGTATGCAACTTATCCCCAAGTCATCTGTCATCCTTTGGTCCTAGCTATTGACCTACTGAAAGCCAAACTTCTACTGATGGGGTAGGAGCAGATAGGCAATGCAGATGGACTTACTTTCAGCAGAGTGGAAGCCCCCAGAAAGAGCCACTCTGTGTCCAGGCAATCATTGGGGGCCCCATTGGGATGTTAGTTACCCCCTGTTGTGAAAGTAGGATTTATGGCTTTGGTCTCTTCCCAGTCGAAGTAGCCATGTCTTCTCTTCACAGTAGGCTTTCTTGTGGAATCAGTGTATGTATTGTACGTGGCACAATAAATAGCAGTTAAATAAAAGGATTTGACCAAAAATTTGCTAAATGATATCCACCCTAATTATAACTTGACATTTGCATAAAAAAAAAAATCTCTGATATTTGCAACTTGTGTTTTTCAGTTTTGAATACAGCGGAGCAGAGCTAAAAAAAAAATACCATCAGGTTATTTTTGTCTGTGACAACATTGGGGGACTTTGGATCCCTTCTTACCCCGTGACTGACGTACATAAAACTCAGCTTACATTTCATTCCCCTTCATGAAGAGACAGAAGCAAAGCCTAACAACAGATTAGAAAAAAATTCAGGCTATTTGGATGCCCTGGATATCCTGTTTTCTTCCCTCAGGATTTGACCGGAATCTCATGTCGCTATGAGGAATTGAGTGGGCCTGTCCACCATTTACATTTACTCCTGCCCCATCACCCTGTCCTTCCACCACATACCTCTTTGATCTTTCTTCCTGAGGTCACCCCTTAAGCCCCCTCTAGATTATTCCCTTTGCAATTCCCATAATCTACTTGTTCCCATTGGCTGTTATGCCTATACAGATATTTTGTCTATATGAAATCTGTGACACAGTGGACTGTAAAAAATGTACCCATTCATCTCTTTACATAAAATAAAGAAGGTTGAACAAGAAAATTCAGCTTATTGTCCACTGGTCTCAGGGACAGGATGCATGGCAAAAAAGCCCAATGCTTCCAATAATGAAACTAAACACATTGGCTGGAGTTCCACTGTATACGGAGCTTTTATTGAGACACATAAAAGGCTCTGCTTTTCATATTATTAGGACAGAGATAACAGAAAAACTCTAATAGCGACTCTAATAAAGTTAAATGTTAGTACATTTGTGTTAACGCGGCACTAAACTGTTTTAGCCACTTGCCCGCCACCCTATAGCAGAACTAATGCTACAGGGCAGCAGGGCTGCGCAAAATTACAAATATATCTATATATATATATATATCTATCTATCTCTCTCTATCTATATATATATATATATCTGTGATTTGCATCTCCAGGTAGGGGGCTCGCACACCGCCCTACCCACACTGCCATTGGTAGCTAGGTATGTCAATGACCGGGTCCCAGCCAGAGATTTCCCGCCGGCACCCGGCTATCGATGTGTAGAACTGACAGGGGAGATACCTGTGTGTAAACAACACAGGTCTCTCTCCTGCCAGCAAGGACATGCTGCTGTGTATTTCTCTGCACAGCAGGGAAATACACAGCAGCACATATACCTAGTAAAACACATACAACATTATGTAAAACAGCACACAGCACACTGTTAACCTTTTGATTGCTCAAGATGTTAATCCCTTCCTGCCCAGTGTCATTACTACAATGTCAGTTTTTTTTTATTGGCACTGATCACTGTATTAGAGTCATTGGAATGTCAGTGGCAGTCAGTTCCCCCCCAGTGTCAGAATGCCTGCCGCAGTCCCGCTATAAGTCACCGATCACCGCCTTTACTAGTATAAAAAAATAAATAAATAAATAAAAATTCCAGTATGTATATTGCCATTTGTAAATGCTATAACCAATTAATTTACATGTATTGGGATTTTGTTTTAGCAAAGACATGGAGCAGAATTTTTTTTTACTGGATATGTTTTATAGCATAAAATTTTAAAATAAAAAAAATAACATTTAATTTTTTTGTTTATAGCGCAAAAAAATAAAAAAGCGCACAAGTGATCAAATACCACCGAAAGAAAGCTCTATTTGTGGGAAAAAAAGGACATATATTTCATTTATGTACAGCGTTCCATGACTGCGCAATTGCCAGTTCAAGTATTGCAGCGCCGTATCACAAACAATGGCCTGGTCAGGAAGGGGGGTAAATCCTCTGCATGACCGCGCAATTGTCATTCAAAGTGTGATAGCGCTGAAAGCTGAAAATTGGCCTGGACAGGAAGGGGGTAAAAATGTCCGGACTTGAAGTGGTTAAGCATTCAAACTGTATGAAAATGGCATCTTGCCATTGTTCATTTATAACTCAGGGCTTTCACAAAAATCAATACAATATGGACTATTATAGGCCAAAGAACACTTGCTACTCTTCTGTGCATATTTTTTCAAGCTACTTTAAAATGAAGTGGCTGTAACTCGTGAATGAATTCCTTTCTTCTGTTTTGCAGTACATACACACACCATAGTTCAGCGATACAGTGAAAAGCTAGCCGTGTATAGAGAAAGAGAAGTGTTCTCTCATAATAAAGAAGAACAGCCAGCTCACAACATGAACAGTTATAAACACACATTATTTGGCCATGTCTTCCGAACATGATTGCAACTGCAAGTTTATTTTCCATTCTACGTAAAAGAATTAATAAAAAAACTAACTTTACCCAGGATATGCTCCAATGCATACATTAGCCTTTTTCTACCAGGGTGCCTAGGCACCCTGGGGTGCAATCTGAGGTCTTCAGAGGTTACTTGGCTAAATGTAAAAAAAAATGCCCCAAATTACCCCAAAATTGTGTGCAAGCCAACGGGTGGATAAGACTTTTTTTTTTGTTACACAAAGCCACAAGTTTTCTTTTTAGGGATACAGTGATATGGATACTAAGATCTGTATCGGTGCCTGTAGTGAGCTGCTTTACGAGTACTCATGAAAATGCTCCCAATACCTGGAACCGAAACTTTGCCATGCGATTTGCATCAATACAAAATGTATGGAAGCAAAATTACACCACAAAGAATACTATGTGATTTGAAGAGGAATGCAATTCCTGTCCAAATACCACGCAGTTTCCCAGCTCCTGTGTGAACCCAGGCTTGTCATATCCTGAGTTCACACAGGAGTTGTGCACGGATCCCATGTTGCCACAGAAGGAAAAGCTAGAGATTTGAAACCCCCGTGGCTTTCTCTCCTCTCAGTGCATGGATGACATTATGGGCTAGACGGCTTTTTATTAGCCAACACCGTGGCACTGCTGACCAATCAGGAGCCATGTAGACTGTACTGTTATCCCTGCAAGGAGAAGAGAGAAAGCCGCTTCACAGGTCTGGAGATTTAAAATCCACACAGCTTTAAAAAAACGGTACCAAGGTGATGCATGCAGCTGCATGCATCATTCCAGTATACCCACCAAAAATCCATTGGAGTACAGGTACATCGCTGGTCCAGAAGTGGCTAAAGATCCTTTTCCAATGCCTATAGTAAAATCGTCTTTTCTTAATGAGCAGTTGAAATCCCCTTTTCCTTTCCGGTTATCCTTGGAAGAAAGATTATACTTGCCAATTTTTTATTGCTTTTGGATATATTGATTTATCTACTAAGGTGTCTTTTTTGCAAAACAAACAAGCCCAGCGCATGAGCACTTTTTGCTGGTAAACTATCATTTGTAGACTACAGAAGACGATGCACTTTCACATGCATCTATTTACTTGATATAGTAAGCTTGCACTTGAGTTTGGAGTGCACACTGCATGAAATTCTTATTTCCCAGACCGTGGACATTAACGTATTTACAAGCAGCAAAAGAGCTTGTATTGTGGAGCAATTGATTCCCAAAGGTCACAGCAAAGACTCTAAACTGGGGTTTCATCAGTTTTTAACATTTGCAACGGTACTCATTCATAACAGCAGCTGCACTGAATGCATGGCCACCAGTCTACCAATTAGCCTAAAGCCGGCC